CTAAATGTCCTCGCCGGGGGGCAATCCTGACCCCCAGATGTTGGGAGTCGCCGAATATGTGGTCATCGAAGGCAAACTCAGCCGCCACCTTCGTCAAATTCTTCACCATCACAACTCGATCCACATCCACTCCAAGGAACACCGTCCCGAAGTCCATTTTAGCAACGTCCAGGATGATGGCAGGCCTGACAGCCTGAGCGCGGACGCTGATGAACTGGGTCCGCCCGTGCATCGTGGAGCACTCGCAAAACCCGGCATAGTTTCCCTCTTCACTGGCGCTGAACTGGGCCTCAAGGGATACTGTGTCTCCGGCGGGTATTGTGCCTTGAGCCGGCCGAAAAGTAAGTGAATCCGGGGGTAACGAACTCTGGAGGGTGGGAACAGCATGGCCATGTTCAAGACAACACTAGGAAAAAAAGTGCCAGATAACACGTGTCCAACGTGTGCAAAGTTTACGGGTTTGGGTTACTTTCGTGTTCTTAGCGTGCCGAACTTTGATGAATTGGGTTTTATATGTGTTCACAAATGTGTCATTTGTTCCTTTTTTCGCCAGTGAAATTCAGTCGAACCTCGTGCTTCCCTCCGAGAGTTAATGTACACATGATGATTGGCTGTTTTGGGTCTAGGGTGGATTGGAAGAGGCTGGCAATTTGCCATCCCGGGACAATTCGACAAGCCGGGAATCTGCGATTTTGCGTGTTCGTTTTGTCTTGCGCGTGCATGCCCACGCCAGGTATTGCTGACGTGAGCGCATTCGAGTAGAAGGGCGATTGCTGAGTCAAATTTGCAAGATGCCCAGTTCAGAGAGCTGCCAAATCGATTTGAGCGGAAAGACTTGATGGAATTCAATGACACAGGAAATAGCGGAGCTGAACTTGCCAATGGGCGGGGATGCCATTTTTGGGTCCAATGCTTGCGTACCTGATCTACGGTCATCTTCCAGGCAGCCTCGCAGCTGCTCGAGTCGTTCTTCAAAACCAAATTCATCAACTTGGGGCGCCGCCATCGAACCAGGCCGAAGTCAAGCGCAGGCGTCACCACAGAAACTGTGGGCCCAAAAACTTCGGCTACCACTCTCAAGGCCAGCCGGGGGCCGTTGCTGATTGCGCATGTCAGCTTCCTGTTCACAGGGCCCACTTCCACGGCGTCCAGAAGCAGCTGCATATCTACCGATCCTAATGCACCCACGACGCCGGACCTAGGAGAGACGTCCAAACCGTCGCTGTGTCCTTCAAAAGTGAATTCCACGGGTGCCTGGCTGCGGCTCCAAACTTGCACTTCGCGCCGTATCGTTTCGCCGAGTGAGACACCTCCCGCAATGACAACAATGCACGGATCTATGCCTGCTTCGCAGGGGAACCCCGATCCCAAGAACTCAAGCTTGTGGGAGCAAACCAGGTGAGATGGACGCTCTGCAGATGTACAGCACCCTGGCGCCCATTCAGACTCGTCCACAATCAAGTGGGCCCAATGCGCAAAGGTGCCCACCCTGGCGGGCTTGAAGATGACCCGAAAAGCCTTGCACTCCCTCGGTTGAAACTCCCCCTCCGGGGGATCTACAGCGAAGGTACCCCAGTGTTCAGAGTCCAGTTTGCCACAGCGAAGCAGACCCTGCAGCTGCGGGTCGAGCACCGCGGAATTAGGGTCCAAATGAAGCCTCGGAGTGGCTTCATGCGTTCTCCAAAACGCCCCGGAAGACCCCTCCAACACGGGAAACCGAGACAAGTGCCATGCGAATGGGAACTTCATGTCGGTATTGTTCGTGAACTGGAGAGTTCTGGACGCCTCCGCCCCGGGGTTGATATTGCCAAACCTCACTGCCCTCAGCATGTCTCCTTCGTCCGGCGGACAGTTGTCTATGGCGGACAAGGAAATGTCTCGATGCTGCCCCTCGCCTGAAACCACGAAGTTCTTCACTTCGCAGTTGTCGCAGACCATTACAAAATCGGCCCTGTGCGGCCCGGCCGCGTCGGGAGCGAATCTGATGTGCATTTTAGATCTGCCCATTGACGGAACGTGAATGAACACTGGCCAGAGCCGGAAGCAGCCGATGTCAACAACGTCCCTTGGAGCGAAGGCAATCTGCTGCGGCCACATGTCCATGGGCGCAATCCTGAACTTGGCCTCTCCCCCTAGATTTTCAAATTCCACAGACGTTTCGGCCGCACCGCCCACGAGGACGGGGCCCACGGAGGTAGTTTGAGCAAGGTTGAGCGAGGGAGGAGGCCGCCTGGCCACGACTGGGATCTCCACTCGACCAACCTGGCTCTCAACTGCAATTGTGTCCGCGTAGTCAGCCAGGGAGTCCGGGCAGAATCTGAGGGTGAATTCGCAGCGCATGCCTGGCGCGACGGTGCCGTGCCTGGCAGGGTACTTCACTTGGGAGACGAAAAAATACTGAGAGGAAGGCGGCAGCAGGCGAATGCGGCGACTGACGTTGCTGATGTTCTGAAGGCCGATGTCCATCTCGTACACGCCGCCCACCTCTTGCACGCACAGACAGGAATCAGTGCCGATTGGAGGTGCGGTCTTGGTCACGCAGCAGGCTGCCCCGCGACCATTGGACCAAGCGACTTCCCCCCCTTAAGGAATGACTACTATGTACCTAATTGGTACACGCTTCACTACTTGCATAGGTATGGTACACTGCCTGATAGGTGCATGCTTCACTCAGGGTTTGGGGATGAGCAATTGATGAGTTTGCATGTTTCATATCGCCGCGGCCAATACAGTCATGAACGCGCGGGACACCCACGTGGCAATATGACAGGAAGAAGTACGGTAGAGCTAGAATCAGGAACAAAAGGCGCTGAACTCTTTTACTCACCAAAGACTACTATGACATGTGAGAAGGCAATATAGACGCTTAGAAAATGTCTGTTCAGGACTCGGTCGTCTTTCCTCTCACCAAAATGGGCTGTGTGGGTGTTAGCATTCCAAAATATCCGATGATACGCACCCATGACAAATCGATATCGCCACAGGATTCAGCAGGGCAGGGGGTTCTGTAGCACAGGCAAGTGACTTCGGTTTTCACGGTGGAATCGGAGTGATGACTGGCAACGAATTTGGCATCGGACAATCAGATGGTCGCTGCATCCTCGCTTATACACTTGCACTTGCTGATCAAATGGACATTGGTTTGACTTGCGCATGTGCGAATGATACTGTCGTTATGTACATTACTAATATTGATACTTCTGTTGAAGTACATTTGCACGAATTGCTGGCAATAACAGAAGCAGTGCTGTTCCGTGATCATATAAAAACAAGGCGAGGGGTCGGAATTTCGGGCCTCGCAGCCGCGGAATGTGATAAACGTGCATTCGCATTGGCATCCACCGCCCCCAAGGGCATTGTTGAGCGATTGATGACTGGTGGCCATATGCTTCCTGATTCAGCGGTTTGCGGCATGCATGGCGGCGATATACTTGGCTCACCGTAGCTGCTGAATACGATGTTCTCTGGATCCAGCTCAAAGATTTTATCTGTGCATGATGAAAGGTTGGATTTCAGCGGAGGAATCTTGGTGGGTCTCTGGACACCCCACTTTGGCCGGCCGTTCTTCTCTGCCGTGGACTCCAGGGAGGCTTGCGCTGAAGACAGGGATGGAAATCTCGGATTTCTCAGAAATGAGAGCTTGTGCCGCATGTTCTGTATGATCCTAGGCACAGCACAATCAAAATATCCAGAGGCGGAATCATGACAAGTTACAGAGAAAATGCCAAGACAGAATCCAAGACCCACAAGCGGCAATTTCGAAATTCATTTGTGGATAGCTGGTTTCATGCACAGCAGCTGGGATGTACTGGATTTCTACAAGGCCATATCATTTGTGCCGCAATTCAAATACTGAAAACGTAGAATATCTCGCAGTGCCGGCAAGGCAGTAGGGCAATGCTGTAGAGCTACCAAGGATACATATTCTTGGGTCTGCCATAACCAGTACGGGTCCAACGGAAAACCTTTCTTGTGACATAAAAGATACCATAACCTGTGCGTGCGGTCTTGTTAACTCCCAAGTTGGGCTGCACATTGGCAAGCAATGCACATTAAATGGATCCATCCATTCAATGATAAATTCATTTCGTTTCCGGACAGCCTGGAAAACCGCATGCTTCCAGTAGGTGAGGATTCCAGCTACGTCTTGATAGATCATGTCTCGGAAATGGATTGATGCACTTGTGATCTACGACACATATTGGGATGTTGGATGGCCAGGAGGCGGTGCTGTTTTCAAAGCGCGTTGAATTTTCCCTTAGTCACTGCTACAGGCGGCCCTTCAGCATCAGTGCCCGGAGATTCCTGCGCACTTTTTCTCGATCTCGAACTGCGTAGGGCTCATCTTCAGGGACATGGCCTTCCGCCGCGACTCCGAGGCTTCCAACTTTGCCCTCACTTCCTCTTCGCTCAGGCTGTGCCACTTCATCAGCTTGCTTCTTGTGAACGACAATCCCGACTGAGCTTTGCGCCTGTGCGCGGCTTCCTTCCTAAGTTCCAGCCCTTTTGTAGAGCTCAGATAGTGTGGATCAATGTTGGAATCATCGTACTCGAATGTCCTCGGGGGCTGGAGGGTTTCGACCCACTTCAGCGCCTGAAAATTCCGGTTCAGGGACTCTGCATTGATGACACCGCCCTCACGGGTAATAGGTTCCTCAAGCTTGAGCAGGGACGGTTTGGACGGTAGGCCCGTCTTTCGCCACGCCGGTGTGAAATCTGGATGCAGGAGCAAAGGTGCAAGTCATGTCTGCAAATGGTCGGGTGTTCGCCATGTGAGTTGCCACGTATTGGGTATATAGGTGCGCTGTAAGCACACAAATGTTTGCATGCACGGCTACATTTGCTGTCCAGTGGGAATGGGAGCTTCGCCATCTCTCATGCAGGTGTTGAAGCAGCAATGCAGAATTGCTGCTTGTTGTTGACGTTTAATTTAAGCATCAACAGCAGAAGAGCTTCAGAGTGCCTCAACAGATTTGGCGCTTTCAAAGAATGCACCGCACCTTCATCGGCTTTGGCCAGAATCGATGCCTCCTGCTCCATCGCTGTTCGCTGCGCCTCTTCCAAATACTGCTGGACTTCATTTTTGCTGGATACCTTCTCACTGTACTGTGCGACAGAAAAACAAAACAAGAATGGGATGTGAATCACAAGATCGAGCAGCGCTATTGGCTTGAAGCCATTGGGGATGCAGCCCCCGGGCATTTCGGATGAAGTGGACCATCCCAGAACGTGCTGTGAATGAAGAGGCTTTCCTGCCCCAGGCAACACAATGAATTCGAGAATGAAAACAGCCGAGTCCTGAGAGCACGTGCGACCACGCGATCAGGACGTTCCCCCGCAACCGTTCAAGGTGAAGACTGCAAAGACGCGATTCCGGCCTCACCTCCTCAGTGATTTTCAAAATCCTCTCATTGTAGTGACTGGCCTCAGACGCAAGACGCGCCTCGGGCTCATCCGCATCCTGTTTGTCGTCTGCTTCCAGTCCCTCTTTCGCGTGGCTTTGGGGCGGAATGTTTGGTTCCTTATTCTCTCCAGATGCCGTTTGCTGCTCTTCATTTTCCGCACTGTCTTCGGACACCGGCGCGGGGACCTCCGGAGGGTAAGCCTCACTGAACAGTCCCCGGAGGGCCGCCAGCGGAGCGGCCATCCCTGTCGGCGACGACCGACCCCCGCCTAGCAGGATGTCCTTCTGAACGGCTAACAATCCGTCCCTGTTGCGTCCAAGGGCACGAAGGGGGGGCAGGACCAAAGGCCAGACGCTGCCTGCATGCCTTGTGCGCTTGCCACCAGCTGTGGGTCACCTGCAATGTTGACCCTTATCCTTGTTAGGAGCGCCGCTCATCTTTCGCTTGGTGCGCTCGCCACGCCGCCTGCGGCGAAGAGAATGAAGAGGAGGGTGAGCGCATGAGCTTTAATTCGGCTTGCCTGGAAGAAAATGACTTGGGGCGCGGGGGGTTGATTTTGGGAAGGCGAGAGGATGTCTCATGGATTGAGCGGTGTTGTGCCAAAGAAACCCCTTCCCGTCATTTTCACTGGCACACTTTTTGTCATACGCCAATGACAAGCCAGAGAAACTACATTCGTAGCCGTGAAGTTGCGTATGAAATAACTCTAAAAAATGGCGCATAAAACACTGAACAATGTGTAAGCTGTCGCTTAAAATCAATTGAAATTTGCGCAAAATCCTCCAGCAGTGAAGGTGGCCTTGTTGCGGCCGAGAACTGCCTTTATACTTGTCTGTCTTCATACGCGCCGATTGCAATCCAGTGCGACATGGCGCACGGTGTGTGCGCGTCAGCAGTGGTTCCCAAATACGACACGGTGGATGCTGTCCAGGATATTCTACCATCGTTGTAGCCTCCGTGGTATTCCACGGTGCAGTGGATTCATGGTTGATGTCCACTGGACTACAATGGCGTCCACATAGTTGTTGGGAGGGAAAGTGGGCTCACCAACTGCAGGCATAACAGTTGCTCTCATTATCGCTCATGAATATCGTAATTAATAAAATGTTATGCAAATTTCGCAAGTCACCTTTGCCAGCAGCACACACATCGTCTTGCACGTTCGACCATGGCCAACCAGCGGTAACCCCGAAGGGTGATCGCTCATCGCTTGCCCTTTTCAATTGGCCACCAGAACGGCAGGAATATGAGCAGGAATATGTTTGGTGTAGACCCTCTGGTAAATGAGAATCCCATATTTCGATACCAGCAAATTGAACCAAGCCGCCAATGTCTGACTTGGTTGCCCACTTGAGAGTGCGTGCCAACAATGCACCTAGAATGATGGACTAGATGCCATTTGCGGTGCCCATGAGCTGCAAAAAGGACATCTCAAGCGCCCATTATCTGTGTACATGGCTGTTCACAGCTGGATCCTGTTGTGTACCAGGCAGCTCAGAGGGCGAAGTGTCCTTCCAGAAGCCAACTTAGAGAACTCCACCCTCTCAGCACCATTTCCGTCTCGTTCCAGAACCTGCCCTTTGATCCCACACAACGACCAACTTGGCTAGCAGGAGCGCAAGCACCTTCAATACAATTGGACGCAAGACCCAGAGCCAGCATCATCTCCTTTGCTCTCAAGACCTTGGCGCAGGTCCGGTGTTTCAAGATTTCCATTCGCTTGAACGAAATCTGGGGCATCTTCAGGGGCCCCAATGTCCACAGTTCGCCTACGGGAAGATGTCACAGAGGCCTTGGCCTCTGCTGTTGGCTGTTTCTCGACTATATTTTTGCTGTTCGCTTTCTTCTTGTCTACCTTGTTGCCAACCAGCCCTTCAATAGCAATAGTTTGGTCTTTGCCCAGCCAGCTGTCGCTAACATTGACAATTGTGCCACTGATGGCATCAGCTGGTGCGATGAAAGTAAGATTGTCCGTTGGTTGCCATTCTGGCTCCCCGTTGATGTGCTCCACAAAATACTTGTACTCGAAAGGCTCCCTGAGCACACAGCAAGAGCAGTACGCATTCAGCCCAACAGCTGACACGGCTCAAGACAAACCGTGATGGAAAAGGCAAAATCATCTCGGCCACAGCCAAATCTGCAGCTGTCCTGAACTCACTTGCTGGCCTTGTCATGGCCACAGTCTCGAAGTCGACACATCCATCGGTTGTCAGGATGACAACCACCACAGACTAGGGTTTCGCTCTAGCCAGTTGTGTAAAGCAGCCAGTGAACACATCAGCTGCCATGCTGCCATGCCACAGTACATGGAAACTGCCAGCTGCATCAACAGCGAAGGCATTCATGGACACATTTACCCTCATGTAAAGAGGTGGAAGACAGTGGCCAATGGTCACAGCTATCTGAAAAACAACGGGCTTGCCACTTTTCGATGGCTGTTTTCCTCTGGTGCAAAGTATTACATCACACTTAGTCCAGGTGCCACCCCTGATTTCTGACATGCTTTGCCTTTGGATTTAAGTTGGCAAGACATAAGCAGGTGCTGCAAATAAACACATGTGCGAAGTAAAACTACAAAATAAGCACATTAATCCATATAAACAAATATAGAACCAGCTGCACCATCAGGATGAAGTGCCACCAGTAGCATGGAGCAGCGAGCAGATCAAGTGTTGCAGTGTTCCCCATTCCAGAAGGAGAACCATGGGTTGACAGGTACGGGTTTTAGGGAAGATGCTGCACCACGGAACGTTCGAGACCTGCTGGGGACATTTGGGTATACCTGAGCTGACGATAAGGGAGTAGTTCATCGGCGAAGGACACCATTCGGTGTGACTCAAGAAACGCGTAGTCGCACAAACGACCCTACTGTCCGTCCACGTCAGACAGAAAATGCTATTACACGGTATTAGTTTGGGAGGTGAAAGGAAGAAATGAAACAAAAAAAATAAGACGAAAACAAAAGTCCTTGCCTGGCTGCGCAGAATCGGTAGATTGAGCGAAGGGAAGAAACAGTACAGCAACGTGCAAATGGAGCAGCCAGGACTGCCTGGAGGTTGTCGTTCCGCCCGTAAACCCGGTGCTGCACTTCACCCAAACTCTGTGGTGAGTTTTGGCCAAGACGCCGCGCCAGGGTGTCCAAATACTTGCTCAAATCAAACCGCCGAGCCGTCCAGTTTTTCTCCACATTTCAGCCAGAAAACCACACCACCTGGATTCTCAACGACCGGATTCTCAGCCAGGCCTTCCCCCTCCTGCCTCACCCTTTTGTAACCTCGCACTCCGCCCTCCAAACGTGCCCCTCGCTCCACCCCATCCCGACCGCCAACTCCCGCCGCCACCGCCCCAGCCCCTCGGCAGACCCCGCCACGCACACCCTCTCGCCGAACTCCACCCGGCGGCGCACGCTCAGGCGCACAACAAGCGTCTCACCGGATCCCGCGGAGCACCGGATGGCCACTGAACGGCGATGGATTCTCAGCGGATTGGGGTGCCCGCCGGGAGCCATGCGCAGACGGCCGCGCGGGTTCACCCCACCTGTGTGGTGGCCCAACATCAGAGACTCTCGTCAGATGACGCTCCGCGAAGGAAGGAGTTGAAACCGGGGCGGCCGGCCGGCGCTGCCGGGGCTTACATCCGCATGCCCAGCCGGGCTTGCGCAACTACCAAGGAGATATGGTCGCGAAAATGGAAAGGAGAATTCAGGCTACACGGCCCCTTATGGGCGCATCATCGCGGAGTCGTGCAGGGTTGCGACGGAGAGGTCAGGGGCATCGGGCGTTCGCGGCCAGCTAGCCGCTTCCGGGGGTTACACCGGCGTGCCCATCCCGGCGATTGCACACGCCCGTGAGAAACTTTCGCCAAAATGGAAGGGAAAATTCACGCTGCACAGCCTCTGATGGGCGCATCAATGCGCCGTCGAGCCCGGGCTGCGTCGGAGAGGGCCGGGGGATCAGGCGCTCGCGGCTGTGCAACCCAGTTGTGCCGCCAATCAACAGCTAGCGGCGCGCACCTGCTGGGAGAGTTTGAGGGGATGCAAGGGTGTACAGCGCGGATCGGAGGCCACAGTCAGCTTGCCTGCCAGCGGACCCGTGCCCTCGCGGGCGGGCGACGATGCAAGCGCCGTGTGGCGCAGCGGCCGCCGCAGTGAGCTTTGCATGCCACGCCCGGGCTGCAATCTTGACCCGAGGCCCCAATGCGGCGCGATCCGAGGCCGGAGAATGTGATCCACGATCGGCTCGCGATTGAAGCAACACCGGGAGAGTCTGGCCGCGTTCCCGACGCCGCTCGACTCCTAGCACCGCCTGGTATGCCTGCTTTTGGGGGCAGCGAGCGGCGGCGCACGACGCTCGTTGGACACGATTGCAGTTCACCCGCTTGCTGTGCCGCACCGTGGGCGGAAAGGGGGTGGCGCTGGAAAAGCCGGCCGCCCACGAGCGACGGCCGCCGTTGAGGACGCCTTTTGGCTCGGTGTGCCGCCGGCAGGCAAAGGCGCGGGGCTGCCTCACCGGCGCAAAAGTTGGTGCCAGTTTTGATGGTCGCCGGAACTGTAGTACTTTGGGCGGGGGCGTGTGTGTATACAGAGTGAGAGTACCTGCAGTACTTGTACCTTTGGGGAACGGCTGCGGGGAGAACTTTTGGGCAGCCCCGGGGTGTGGCCTGGTCTTTTTTGGGCAGGTGAGATTAGTAATGGGCGTCTGCTGGGAAAGCAAACGCCGAAGATGACGATCGTTGATGGCAGCCATCTCATCGCCCAGTGTATTTGGTGAAGACTCCAGTCCTTGTGGTAGTTGATGCATCCCAAACACTAAACAAGAAAGTGCCAAAATAACTGGGTAGCAAGGGGGAAGACTGAGGAAATAATACATTCTCATGATTGAGTCAGGAACAGGCAGGAAACAGGATGTCACCGCTTGGGAAACGGCGCTGGACACGTGATCTGTTTGGGCACGCGCCCCACCCACGTTCGCGCTTACTGCGTTGCTCATCCGAGGCGCAGTTGATCATGTGGTTGGCGACTTAATTTGCCTTGTTCGCCAGCAATTACTTTCTGGCAAGGGAGACATGGGTGGGTCCGTGGATGCACCAGGCGCAAAGGGCAGTACGGGCAGCAAGGGCAGTAGCATTACGCTTCCGGCTGCCCGTTCCTTGGCAGATTGCCCCACAAACGCAGCCCGTGGACCCGATGGTCCAAGGGTGCGTTGGACTCTTGGCACGACTTCCAGTGCGAGCCCAGGCTTGCGTTGAAAGGGGTGCCTTGAAGGAATTTCTCGGTGGCGGGGGGCCTCCCCGCAGGAGGGGTGCCCGCCCACCTTGTCTTGCTCCCACCTGCCCTTCCCTTGGAGCTCGACCTGGGCTCCGAGGATTACGTGAAGAACTAAACACCGGGGATCTTGTGCTTTGGTTCGCGTCGCACAGGGCAGGCACAGTCTGACGCAGGGGGACCTGCGAGGCGGGGCATTGGTGAGGGCGCTTTTCGACAACGCGCTCGGCCGGTGCGCACGTCCTTGGCGGTGGGGAGTGGATTCCAAACCCCCATCCTCCCAACCCTCACATCCCCACACCTGTGCCCACCACACCACTGACCACGTCCCGTTGACACCGCATGAAGCCCCAGTGTGTGAGCGCACTGACCTGTCCCGAGCCTTCCCGCCCAGGGAGGAAAAGGAGGGGTGCGGCCTCGATTGCATTTTCAGTCGCGAATCCCAGCTGCGGCCCACCGCCTCCCCCACACCACAGAACCAGCCAGCAAGAACGCAGAGGCCAGGGGTGGTCCCACTTGCGCCGCAATTCGCGCCCAATTCCGGCGCAATTCCGCGCCCCTGGGCCCCTTTTGCCCTGTCCAAAAGCCACCCGACTTCCCTGTGGCCTCATCTCCAGTCACAGGGCCTGTGACTGGCCACCCTTGGCAGGTCCCTTCCGTACCGGCCCGGTTGTACTGACAGCTGCCAGCCCCCCGCCCCAGGGATCCCCCTCCCCCCCCCCCCCCCCTCTTCCCTGCGCCCTTTTGAAAGCCCTGCCCTCGCACAACTCCTGGACCAACCAACTCGACGCGGCGTATCGAGGGCTAACGGCAGGCGACACAGCTCAGGGCGGCCGCTACCTGACCGTCGGGATCTCCATCGATTGCAGACGCCGGCTGCGCGATTTTCGGAAACAGCTCTTAGAGGCCGCGTTGCGACTGGGCGCTGTGGGTGCCCATCATCTGGGCGGTGTGCTTAGCGTCGGGGGCGGCTGGCTAGGGGCTGTTGTGGGCTGGAAGCGGCGCGAAGAGCGCCGGGGTGGTTTTGATTGATCTCGAAATCGGGGACTCGAGAGGTGGAAGTGGCCCCAGGGGGTGGGATTTGACGGCGGACTCACTCAATCCTGCTCCTGCACACGTGTGAAGGAAACCTGGAGGACTGATGTGCCGCCGGGCGGGAGGGGAGGGCAGGCCGAGACACACGCCGGCGCAGCTGCACTTTGGAGGCCGCGCCCCGGCGGACTGCCAGGGAGTCGAGCGGGACAAGGGCCTCCGGGCGTGCTAGCGGATCCCGGTACAGCCTGCTGTCGCGGGGCGTGGGCGGGGAGTTGTGGGCCGCTTGGGGGCTCGCGAACCGGGGAGGAGGGTCGAGCGGGGGCGGGATCGCTGACGGAGATGACGGTGGATGGGGAGGGGTTGATGGGCGGCGAGGCGGAGGAGGGCGAGCCGGTGCCAGAGGGGGCCCACCAGGCGGTGGAGGTGGACCCCACGGGGCGATTTTCGCGGGTGAGTCGCGGCGAAATTGGCGCATCCCGCGTCGGGTAGGACTGTGGAGTTTCGCCGTGAGGCTTTGGGCGATGCCGCCACGTGGGGGGCTGTCCGCGCTGGCAGTCTGCGGATCGGGGCGGTGGATTGCGCAAGTCGCGGTGCCGTCCTGCGGGGCCCAGGCATCGGAGGGGAGGGACGAGCGGATCCTCGGCGGGTACGGCAATGCGGTCGCGCATCCTTGGACTTGGCCCGGCGCGGCCGGGAAGTGACGATGGCGGTCACGTCAGCTATCGCAACCCGTTGGTCGTGAATCGACGGCCTGGGCGCTCATCTCGCCGCTTCCCGCCGCGCACTCGAGGCATGGGGGAAAAGGGCGGCCGCCTCGCCAGGCGCCTCATCCCCGCGCAGTATTTGTGAAATTTCAAGTTGGGCGCTTGTGGTCCATGTTTTTAGGGCCCTTGGGCGCGCCCGGACGCGCTGATTGCCGCTGATTGATCATCGCTTGTGCACTGGCGGGATTGGCATTCCATAGCACTCCAAGGAGGGGCCTTCCCGCCGAGTTCGCTTTGGTTGATCGTGGCTGTGCGATTGCCGGTGGCGTCCGTGGCTTATGATGGCCCTGTGGCATGGCAGTTCGACGTGGTCCTGGGGAAGGGCGCCTCCAAGATCGTGTACAAGGGCTTTGACAGGGTGCAGGGCATCGAGGTGGCGTGGAACCAGGTCAAGCTCCCAGAGAGCGTGAGGGATTTGACCCTCACGCGCCTGTTCTCTGAGATTTCCGTGCTGAGGAAGCTGAAGCACAGGAACATTATGAAATTCTACACTTCATGGGTGGACAACAAACAGCGCACGGTGAACTTCATTACAGAGTACTTCCATTCTGGGACTCTGAGAAGGTAGCCGCATGCGCATGAGCCTCCTCCTGTGTTGATCTCAGTGCATTTCTGGATGGCAGTGGATGTGGTTGGCCCAATGGTGCTCGTTGCAGCTTTCCTGTCCTTGTGGGGGCTGGTGTGTGTTGGCTGGCTTATGCAAGGCTGCGTCTAACGCTGGATGGGTGTCAGATCACTGCCATCTTCATCATTACCAACCTGCTTTTGTTCTGTGTCCAATTGTGTCTGCCCATTTGGAGCACAGCATAATGTGTACACTCGATAGTGGGGAATTGCTGTGGATCACCTTGTGGTGCTGTTGTCGACACAGCGTCTTCCCCCACCCCACGCTGTATTGTGCATCGAATTAGTAACGAGCGGCTCCAGATTTTCTTGGTTTCTTCCCAAGAAGTGGCGAATGGCACCCACACTGTGCTGATAGGCCAGTTGTACCAGTGCTCATGTTGTCCCAAGGTTTATTTCCTTGGATTACTTTTGTTGAGAAGGCTTGGCAAGCGGTCCCCTTCCACCATGCAGGTGACCGTGGAGCAGACACATCAACCAGAGTGTGTTCAATGCCCTTTGTTGCACTGGTGTCCCTGGCCCTTCGACTGGTTGCGTTTGTACTGTTGTTGTTGGTCATATTGTATAGCACTAAAGACAAAAAATGTACTGAAGATCGGCTGCATGGATAGAAACTGAAATATAATTGTCTGCCGCAATGTGGTAAATTGCCGAAAATGCTCACAAATCTTAAATCTCGTTTTGGTTGGGTGTGTGTGCATGTCGTTCACCAGTTGACAGGCGGCATCAACACCAGACGTTGCGCCTCCACCCCTTGTAGTTCACCAGATGGGTGCACATGCAGTGGAACCCAACCCCAGATGGGGCTGCACTGTCCTGACCAGCATAAGAGATGGCTTGCCGGTCTCCAAATGCATCTGGAAGCCGCAAATCTATTCCTGAATAATGTCAGTGTTGTGGACGTGACATGGCTGTATGGCTGTGCTCTGGCAGGCACCGGATGACACACAAGTGTGTCACCCTGCAGGTTTTAAAACGCTGGGCATGGCAGATCCTTCAGGGTCTTGTGTACCTCCATGGCCACCACCCGCCCATCATCCACAGGGACTTGAAGTGCGACAACATTTTCATTCATGGGGTGACTGGCGAGGTGAAGATCGGTGACCTGGGCATGGCCAAGCTCCTGACTGCAGGCCTGTCAAAAGCCCAGAGTGTCCTAGGTGTGTGGCTGACCTATAGTCTGCGATGCAGCTGTGGCACATTCTTTGGTGTGCATTTTCCTTCACTGGCTTGGCAATTGTGGGAAGTTTTGCATCCAACTGCTTGCGGGATGTGCCCAATAAGTTCATTGCGCTACAATTCAGTGTTGTTTGATGTGTCTTTGCTGGATGTGCAGAGCCCAGTTGGCTCCCACCTTGACTGCGATGAAGTAGCCCACACTCACTGCACTGCTGCCAGTCTTGGATTTGTCATCTGTTTGGTGCTCTTGTTTCGTTGTTGGACAAATGGAAAGGCTGGCCTGGTCGATCTGAGGCTGCCACAGAAAGCAGTGCGCTAAGCTGTCGCACTACTGCAGGGTATCTGCTGGCTTTAGCTCAGTCACAAGATCAGCTAGAGTCCGATTGCATGAACAGTATGCCACTTTGAGTCTTTTGTGTGAATGGCAAGACAATGTGTCTTCTGTTTGTTAGGGCCCTGAGTGTTGCAAGCATGTCGTTGTTGAGGTTTTCCCCTACCGTATGTCTTGATGTCTTGATATCGTGCGCACTATGCTAACGAATCCACTGCAACTTCACATTCAGCCTGTGCATTGGGTTACTGGGATTGTGGGTCATTCAAAATAGTGGCCATGCTGACGATCACAAGCGAATGGTGGACTGTGCACGTGGATGGAGTGTGCACGCATTGCATCACTCCCCAGAGCAGCCCACAGTGTGTCCCTGCTGAGTAAACAGTGGTTGCATTTGCCGATCGTGCCTGGCCTTTGTAAACAGTGTCAACAGGCGCCTGTAGCTGGCTGCACCAGTACAGCGCCGATGCTTCGATGCCACAGTTGATGTTAATCATCATCGACCCTTTATGCCACTTGGTCCAGCAGTCTGCACACTTGCTCCTGTGACCTCAGAGGCAATGCTATGCAGGAAAATTAGGTGATGTGGTAGAATGCCAAGCAATGAATTCCTAAACAGCAACAGCAATATTTCAAATTTTCATGGTATAGCACAGGTATTGTCTGTGGGCTGTGTGGTGCCATTGGTGCTTGCTCCTGGCAATGTGCAGCAGTTGAATCTGGAGCTTGTGTTTTTGCGCTTGGCTCAAAGATCGTTTGGGTTGCAAAGTGCACATGCTGATGTGTCTGCTGTCAGGTACTCCTGAGTACATGGCACCTGAGCTGTACGACGAGAGGTACAATGAAAAGATCGACATCTACGCCTATGGGATGTGCCTCATGGAGCTTGTGACGATGGAGTTTCCCTACATGGAATGTGACAACAGATGTCAGATCTTCAGGAAGGTCACCTTGGTAAGCATCTCTTGGGATGGCACTGCATTGTTGGTGGATGTGTTTGATGAGTGGATGATTCATTGTGTGCCTTGGGTTGATTTTTGCTCCATACGGGGTGTAAGCAGTATGAGTTATGTTCATTAGCTTGCATGGAGCCTCAGCACTGGAAAGCATTTTGTCTCTGCGGTGTGATGGTAGAATTCCAAAGTCACCCACAAATACAAACTCCTGCACTGACAGTGGCCAGGACCATGCACCTGAATCATGTGAAGAGAGAACCAGGCTATGGCAGAAGAAAAGTGGAAGAGGGTTAGGCTGGGCGTGGGGGACCTCTTTGTGTTTGTGTGCAGCAGTTGGATTTTGGACATGGTCACATGATTGTCAGTCCACACAATTCTGAAAGGCAGTTTTGAGGCCACAAGGGCTTTTTGAGTTGCATTGCGATCTACACATGGTCGAAGTAACTGCAAGAGCAAGAGTTTCATGCAGTTGCCCATTTTCAGGGGTAGTGTTGCCCACGCATTTCTCTTTTCCAGCAAGAGTGCGATTTGCCGCGCAACAAACAATGCGATATGCAGCATACAGCATATGTAGAAGTTGGGTCTCTGAGTGCTGTGGGGGATATGTCTTGTCCTTGTGCAGGGCGTCTACCCAGCTGCGCTCGCACGGATCGAGGAAACCGAGGTTCGCGACTTTATTGAGCTCTGCATTTCACATGACCACATTCAACGGCCTTCAGCTAGGGAGCTTCTGAAGAACCCCTTCTTTGACAGCCTCCGCGCACAGGGCATGGGTGCACTTGGTCACAACTTCAGCGAGGCTTCCATGGCGTGCCCTGCAGTCATCTCACTTCCAGGCGCCAAGACCTTTAGCCTGAGGCTAACGGAGGTCCAGGGGAGGATGCTGAAGTTCAAACTGGGCATCAAGGCCTCTGAAGGTGCGTGCGTTGGCTGTGCGCTCGGCTGCTAGTTTGCTGTGCCTCTTGATCTGTGCACACTGCAAAGTTGAGTGTGTGACTGTGTGGGCCTTTTTCTGTATTTCAGAATGCTGCATCTTGAACTTGATGCAGTGTTTTTGAATTGTAGAAAAGTTGTGTGAGCAGAATGCTGTTTTTGCAACAAAGGGAAAGCATGCCATACAGTGGGCATCACCTCCAGGCAGCAAGTGATTGCTGCACAGTCTGTGAATAGACATCATGAATGTTGAAAGTGGTCCACGCAAGGCTGCCATGGCATGATTGGGTTGTGTTTCACAGCTGCACTTGTTGTTCAGCTGCAAATATATCTAGTGTTTGTGCCCATGTTGGGCCTGCAGAAAAAAATGCAGCAGCCAACTCAACGGATCAGAAACCCTGACTCACCAAGTTTCTGGCACTTGAAACCTGAGTGAGGGCTGTGGTATGTAAGCAAAGGAGAATGCAGCATTTTGCATTTGCATTCCTACCTGTGTGGATATTGGGATATTAGCTGGTACCAGTGTGGGGAATTGAGCTTCTTTCCAGCAAGTATGTTTTCATTTTTGTACCACAGACAACTGCAGCTGTCACAGCTGTCACCTGGTGGATGGCACTGGTGCTGTTGGTGCACAAATCTTTGAAGGGGCTGGTCACAAATCGTCTCTGTGAACAAGGTTATGGGAGGTTTGCTCTGTCTCTGTGCGAGCTTCAACGCAAACTCTGCCAGACAGGTGTCCAAGGATGGCAGTTTCTGGCAAGGATCATGAGTGTGGCTGTGGCACTGAACCAGGGGCTGCACAGTGCTTCGCCTTCCCTTTCGATGCCCTGTTGGACACAGTGGAGGCTGTGGCAGAGGAGATGGAGACAGACTTTGAGCTTACGCCTGCTGAGGCTGAGGTCTTCAAGCTGGTGCTGGAGGCGGAAGTGGCCAAGGCGCGACCGCTGGTGGACCTTGAGACCAACACGTCTGGCCCATTGTCCCCAGTGCCCGCTGGTGGGAGCTCCTCTGAGAGGACTGCGAGCTGCGACGGGACCTTGTCAGATCTTGCCAGCCTGGCAGCAAGTGCATCAGAGCCATGTCTAACGGGCAAAGCAGCGAGCAGGTTGTTTGCGCAGGGCGGATCGGGAGACAAGCTTGCTCGCAAGACGGTGCGGCCATTGGTTGGCAATGGTACCAAGGGGCATTCTGGAAAGCTGCCGATCAGGTGCCGTAGTGATGGAGAAGTGCGTCTCAGTCCGTGGGTGCTGGAGGATATGTTGGCTGGGGTTGCTGGACTGATCCACGGTGACTCAGGCTCTCGAGGCGTCCAGGTTCGCTCACTGATGAGGAAACGGTGCAAATCGGAGCCAGCCCTGGTTCTGGAGAAACTGCCTGAGTGTGAGGACAGCAGTGCAGCAATGGGGCCCAGACAGCACTCAACATGCTCTCGCACCTGTGTCAGCAGCAAAGCCCTTGCTGCAGTGGGCAACTCAAGTGACATGCCAATGGTCGATGACCAAAATGGGGGCAATGGCGGACCAGAAGCGCACCCAGTCTGGCGATCTGGGTCTTTGCTCAAGTCGGATCGAGCTGCTGAGGTGCTGTGGGGAAGCATCTGCATGCCTGAAGAGGGGGCGACCAGTGCTGGCCATGCTGAGGCATCATCATCCTGTGTGCCCCGTATGCCAAGCTTGCTTACTGGGCCAAAAATTGCTTCGGGCGCTCTCCCCGTAAAGGGGGGCATGTGTCCGCACCCTGTGGCTGCACAGGTGCCGGGCGCAGTGGCTCATGACAGGGAACGAGAAGGTCAAGGGCAGGCAGGGTCGGCACAAGACTTCGTGGGTATGATCGGTGGCTTGTCCCGAAGGCGGTCGTGGTCGTCTTCCCTCACGTCCCAGCTCACGTCCCAGGGAGAGGAGACCGCAGAGGGCGCGTGTCAGTGGTCGCAGCAGGAAATCAAGCCGAGGGACATCCTGGCCAGCGGGGACAGTGGGGGGTCAGGGGGTTTCGCTGCCGCGAGAAGGGGCTCGATGGACAACATCCACAGGAATGGGCATGGGCACAGCAGGCGCCGCAGTGCTGAGCGCTTCAGGGGCCACGGTGGTATGGATGGCTTGTCCAGTGGCAGGCTGCCCAGCCATGCAAGGCGGCAGTCCGCCAGGGAGATCCGCTGGCAGGGGTCGACGCTGTCGCCCGTGGACATGGCGGGCCTGGACAGCGTGGACAGGATGGGGAGGTCTGCGTCGGTGCCCATCAAGCCCCCGGTGTCAGGATCGGCAACGCTGCCACCCCTGACCAGCAGGTACTCGTCTCCTTGTGGGAGCATGGCCCGTGACCGAGGCTTGTGGAGGACGCTGACCTCGAAGGTGATGAGGCGGAGGAGGGCTGACCAGCAGATGGACAGCACGGAGTCGCCGAACTTCGATTCGCTGGGCTCCTTCCGGCGGTCTCTTGGCTCCTGCGTGCCCGTGCAGCGGCCCAGCGACTCTCCGCTGATCTTGTCCCACCTCGAGGCAATGTGAAGGCGTGTGCCATTCTTCCATCCTGGAGATTTTGGGCCATTTGTCGATTGCGCACGTGAGTACAAACGAAAATGAAACTGGGCCTGCATTAAGTGCATTGATTAACTGCGTGAGAGCGAGTCTGACGGGTTGCTGTGCGTGCCAATGCTCCTCAAGGCTGGGAGCGGTCGGGCAGCTGGTTTGCTCGACTTGCAGCAGTGCGAATTAGGTGTAGTCGTTTGCTCAGAGCAGGTTAATGGGCATCTAGGGGTAGATGTCTGGGCGTCTGTGGGTCACGTGGTCCAGTTATGACTCCGGAAGCTCTGTGCCTTTGTCAATACATTGATTTTATTTATTTTGTTTCAGTTTTGGTGGGCTGCCTTCCTTGTCTGGGATCTGCTGTGTGTGTGGTTCGTGGGCAACGGTGTGTCTCTTTGGGGGGTATCGGAAGTGCAGACAGTATTATGCGGGTGCTGGGCGAGCCTTGTGCCCGGCACAAGATGTGTGTTGGGAAGTAATGGCGGTTACTCGGACGAGATCTCCAAATGGGAACAAAGTCGGGTGGCTGCCCGTGGCAGCCCCCAGAGGGTTTTGTGGATTGTTGGATTTGGGGCAAAGGGGTGGAAGGAGACCACCCCAACGTTTCGGCGGTGCGCTGTTCGTCAGACAGAAACACTAAGGGCACATCTTGCATTGTGGTGCGGCGCTCAGGATTTTGGCGGCACGCTGGCTCCCGTCCAGGTGCCACAGCGGCCAACAAGGCCAATCTGCATGTGAAGGGTGGCCAATTTGGCCATAAAGATCCGCCGGTGGTGCTGGCGGAAGGCTGCTGTGCAGCCGAGCGAACAGCTAGTCCTGGACTTTGTGGCACTCAGCGAATTCTGTAGGTACAGGGGGAACACCAGCGTGTAAAGGACCAGACTGGTGTTATCGAAGGCAACGTCGTCGCTGGGTTGCTGTAAATTCCAGCTGTCCCAACTGCGAGCCTCCCGGCATCTGCGCATTCGCCCTGCAGCGCTGCTGTGGTTGGTTGTGCTTGTTGCTCCGGCCAGGTTGCCGCCAAGAGCGGCTGGGGGTTGCACTCTGCACCGCATGTGGACAAGTGGCTGGCTTCCTGGGTCCACGGCCCGTGGCTGCGCCGCTGGCCGCGCCACCAGCGCTGATCGCCGGCGCTGGCGCCACAATGTACTGGGCGAAGCCCTGGGATATAAGGCTATATCCCGGGATATAAGGCAAAAACGCTCCATACAGACTGGGATATAAGGCCGTTTTACCCCCGATTGCCGATTACCCCCTATATCCTGAGGAGCGTTCCTTCTACTCTTTGTTCGGGTCGCCAATTAATGGGGCTCATCAAAAAGTTAGTACATTAATGATATCACTCAGCTGGCGACCCGTGAGGTCTAGATATGGTGCAGAGGGGATGTCGACAGCCTCAGCACCTTCGCCACGCTGATCATCACCAAGCAGTTTGGCGCTCAATGAGGTGGGAAACCCCCAAATAATCAGCCTGGCGTACTACATAATTTTCTAGTATTGAGAGCTCAAGGCACTCAGAATGCAGGGAGATGACTTTGATGACAAAGATAGACCATGGCGACTTCATCATACGCCCAAAGAGTTCACTAAGATACTATAAAGATGCTGAGCACAACGTCAATGCGTGGCAGCGCATCACACGGAGACACAACCCCCAGAAAACCCCTTGGAGTACTGAGGAGCACCCAGGTTGCCATTGGACGCGTGCATTTGCTTAGGGGCTGCCCGCCTGGCAGTCTGCCGTGGACCGTGGTGAGACGGAGTCAGGAGGGGCGCGTGGAGGCGCCACGTGGTTGTTTGATGGGAATGCCCATCAAACCCGTTCCGCCCATATGCCCCGTGGGCCATTACGTGGTTGTTGACCACGGGAAGTGTGGGTGTTTGATGGGAATGTGGCCCTTGGAGCATTATGTGGTGGCTGATTGCGGGCAGTGGGGCGTACCGGGTTGAGTTGCGGTGAAACGACAAGTGTGGCAGAAAGATTCTGGGTATCAAAAGAGCATCTCTTAGGAATGGTGGGTATTTGCCAGAGCTTGGGGTGTTACAAGTACTGGGGGCGTGGCGAAGGCTATAGGGAACTCAACTATTGTTGCACTCGGCCCGGCAGCTGTAAGAATAGTTGTGCAGCGTTCGCATGTGCCTCTTGCGGCGGTCTGGGCGCTCAGCCTTACCGCCTGACTCCCCTGGCCGTGTGCACAACGTTCGCCACGGGCTGAGCGCAATAGCGCTCGACCTTTTTGAAGGTTGCCCCCAGTTTGTGCCTGTTCTGAGCCACTTTCCTTGCCGTTCAAAACCAGCACTGCCAGCGCGGTCATGCTGCTGGCCAAAAGTGACCAACCTTTGTGGCCGCACAGCTTCGTTGAGGCGGAAAGAAGCATCTTTCGTGTATTGCATCGCTACGCTGTGGACAAGGCTGCCCCGACCCATGGGGCTGACCTATGCCCTGACCTCGCTGAATTTGGGGAATGGCTGCGACCGGCTGTGAGCCTCTGGGGGGCAGATGTGAGAGGTTGCCCGCTTGACGTTCAATTGGATGTTTGCCGCTCATCTGAAGCTTCCCTTGCCATCGATGCTATTTTTGTTCGTTTTCATCGCTGCGACAAGCAGTTATTCATGAAGAGCCAGTTCGCACAAGGGGCAAAGCTTGTTCGTTGTGTGACCTCTATTGACGTGGTGCTGAGGCTGTCAACGTGGTTCAGCTGCTCGTTCAGGGGTCATTAATCTGCGCTATCTCCAGGGATGACGGCCAGAATGGACCGTCACTTTTTACATCTTGGATTTTGTTACGCTTAGCAGCAAACTGATGCTAAGAGCATTTTTATCGGTCGGTGCTATTGCACTGGCGGAGCCATCCAGGAACAGTTCTCATTGGCAACCGTGCCACCTTACCAAGGCGGCGTTTGCCGAATAGCACTGGTGTTACTGCCCCCTTGCGCGCACCTGCAATGATGGGTGCTACTTCTATGCCGAATAGCATCGTGGCAGCACTACAATGTTCTGCACAAATAGCAACAGTTGCTATTCTGGGGTGCTGTTTGGCCTCGAGCAGCGATATTCAGGCCCAGAATAGCACCGCTTGGCCGCGAATGGCATCGGCGGTGCTATTCAGGTGCTATTGCTCCCCAACCGTTAATGATGGTTTTTGGACATGCGGTGCTATTTGAATAGCCGAAGACCACCGTGACAATAGCACCCACCAATAAAGATGCTGTTGGGAGGGTTGGCTGGGTTTCCAAAGACCTGACACAAAAGGATTATGTAATTGCCAACAAATCGACAAAAGGAATTAGCCAAAAATGCCACTGATCAGCAGCAAACAGCCCATGACTTGTTCCTAAACTTCTTGTGAGTGTTCCACGTTCAGAAAAGGCTTTAGAAAGGATCAATCTGCAGCCAGTGAGGCTGCACGCCTCGCCTATAATGCCATTTAGAATCGCATTCTTAACCCACTGAATTCAGCACAACTTCGATTGTGTTTTGTCCTGAAAACCACCTAGAAGTTGTATAACACAGTCATGTAATGTTGGCGAATCATCCTTGCATCGACATCAGGTTTGACACTAAGGGGTGGGGGGTGGGGATGGGGGGGTAAGATTTGCCACAAAAGAGAAAGAGAAACAGGCCATACAAAGGGCACCCCCTCCTAGGCAAGCGTATGTGAGGTTCTGTTCCATGCTATGAAAAGGTGATACAGAGCCTCCGAAGCAAAGGTAAGCATGCAACAAAAGCAAGGCATAGACAAGAAGAACATGCACTCGGGGGGCCTGTGCGAAAGTTAGAGAATGTGCGTGGTGGTGGTGCGGTGTCTGAGCTTAATGTCAAATTGATGCTATGCATAACCAAATAGACGTAGCGCCTTCCCTAACGAGGTACCCTCAACGAGGATGTCAATCAGCACATATTGATGAGCGTGTGCTATCGCCTGGCAAAGATGCAGGACGAAAAGAGCGTTGTTAAGGGCATCTTAAAGAGCATTGTTCTTGTTCTTCCGATGCCTAGCCAAGCGCACAAGTCCCCAGCCATCCGTTGCTCTATGGCCCACGTCCTCTACATTTGCAAACTAGTGCCAGAGGTTGAGCACATCTCTGCCTGGCACAGTCGTTTAGCGATTATGTAGTCAAAAAATCATCTTTGCAATACAAAGAATCAAATCCCCCTGCCCGTTCCAGCATCCCAAACACTGATCTACCTGGTATCCTCGCCAATCCCGATCCCCCACCAATCAAACCACCATTACCCGTTGTTTGTTCTTGTTCAAATAATTGTCCACCCCCTCGTCAAATCACCAAGCGGCCATGGTAGCGCCCCCACGCTGTTTTCAGCCTGCTTTGAAGGCGCAGCCCACATGTCGAAGCGGCCTCATGCTGTCTGCAACGCGAAGCCTGGGATGGACGTCACCATTAGTCGTGTTGACAAATCAACGCACGTCTGCTCAAGCCATGTCCAGGATTCCTTTCAACTCCTCATCCGTCTGAATGCCGTCCGGGAGGTCCTGCGGGCCCTCGGCAATCAGCGCGTCGTTGTATTCCCTGTTGCCGGCAGGCAGGTTGGTCTGAAACCAGGGGTGCTCCCAGACGTCGTCCATGGTGATCCTCCGACTGGGACACACCTGCAGCGTCCTGTTGAGGAAGTCCATGCACTCGGCAGAGACGGGCGGCAGCAGCTCGCCGTTGCCGAGGCGGCTGGGTGGCGTCTTGACGGCGTTCTGCGGCCACTCGCTGGGGTCGCTGGCGCAATTCCACTCCGGATCGAGGGGGATTTTCACATCCGCTCCAAACAACATTCGGTATAGGCAGCAGCCTACCAGCCAGACGTCGGCCTTGCGACCATCGTACTTTGGACCGCCGAAGGTGGTGAACAGGACTTCGGGGGACATGTAGTTTCCGGTTCCGACGTAGGAGTCTGGTGTGGACTCTGAGGCATTCTTGCAGTCCCCGAAGTCAATCAGCTTGATAACGAGGAATTCATCAGTGGCTGCCGCGCTCTCCATTAGGAGGTGCTGGAGCTTCAGGTCACGGTTGAACACTCCCATCCTATGGGAGTAGTCGAGGGCCACAATGAGCTGCTGCAGGAACCAGCGCGCACGTTGTTCTGGCAGACAGCTGCATACGGCAGGGAGAAAGACGTCAGCCGCTTGGCCTTGCACAACTTTGGCCTGGACAGCCAGATGCCCCAGAAGTCGCCGAACGCTCGTCCAAGTTCGGGGCGCAAACAGCAGTGAGGCGGTGTCGAAACACCTGCATTCCCCCACATGGTACGTTGTACGTATTTTTTTTGAATTCCAATGTATTACATCAAAAGATAACCAGAGGAGCTCCCCCAAATACGTTGTACGTATGGTATTTTCAACAAGTAAGGAACCCGCGGGGCCCGCACACGGGCCCAAGGGTCCTTTAAAATAGCCCGGCTGGTGGGCGGCCCAAGGGCGAGCTGATTGAGGCGGGGCCCTTAGGCCCAGGGGTGTGTGAAATGCAAGGAAAGAATGGGATGGGGAAACAAAGGAAAGCACAAAAATGTATGGTATTTTCAACAATGCACAGGTGGGGCTGACTGCATGTCAGTCACTTTCGCAAGAGTCCAGGGATCCATTAGCAACACGGAGACTCAATGCGGCACTTGCAGCACAGTGACTAACTTGTTATAGGTTAGCGATCCCTAAGCACCGCTGGCTTCGATTGTCGTGATCAATCTGATCTCGAATTCCCGCGTGTGCAAAATCATGGTCAGCGTTCATTTTTACACAACTCGCAAGGCCACTACACGCCATGTCGCTGTCGCGCACTCTGCCCGGCCTATTGCCCATGGCGGCGCTCGGCATTATGCGCTGTCGTACTCACCCGAGAATGTGACCAATACGAGATGCTAATTGTCGCTAGATTGAAGATGGTTGGAAGTGGGTTTGCGAAGTTGGGCTGTGTTGGCAGCATCGCACAAGGCCCCGCCCTGCTGGCGGCGCCTCGACGGGCCCCGCAGCGAACAAAAGAGGGTGCCACAGGCGCTTATCATTCCCAGAGCGAGCGCGCCCGCCAAGGAGCGAGCGAGATGGTACAGGACGCGAGACCCTCGAGGCAATCGCCAAGGGCTGTCCGAAATCGACTCGCTGCCATCGCCAGGGTGCGCAGCCGCTAGGCATCACAGTCAAGACAACGCTTGGGGACAACCCTTGGGCCACCGGTCCAAATCTTGGAGACTCGATTGGAGATGCGGAAAACAGTCTAGGTGTGAAAAATGACGCGGCGAGGATCAAAACCTACCCTGTTCTCTTCACATATCCGTAGAGGCTGCCGCCGGCCATCCACACCATGACGATGCACACGCTGTCGTCCGTGAGGAGCAGCTCTCGGAATGCCACGATGTGCTTGTGCCCCATCAGGCGCTTCAGGTCCAGCACTTCTCTCTTGAGGTACTTCTTGAACTGCTGCTCGCAGCGCGCCTTGGCCCGGGGCACCATCTTGATCGCCACGCGGACATGCGGCTCCCTCCGCTCGTCTCTGGCCAGGCCGACGTCGCTGGTGCTGCCGCTGTCGAGGATGCCCTCCCCAGCAAAGCCGGGCGGCAGTCGGCCGCCGACGTCTGACATCCTTGTGCTGTGGCTTTCGATCGACAGGAGGCCCCCTTGCCCTGAGGGAGGAACTGGGAGACTGGGAGGGGAGGCAAGCAGTGCAACAGTGCTGTCGCCGAGTTGCCCAAAGGTGGGAGGCCAAAGAGGGAAGCGTGGACTCGAGGAGCTAGAAGGGGCTTACCGCTAACAACGGTGCAAGAACCGTTACGACAGGGTATATACAGCCAACACCGGCCCCCGGCGCACACTTTGTCACGACATGCGACGGTGTGGCCATGTTCCGGGATGCCCGGGTCGGGCCCTCGCTGCCGAGCCCGGTGTACTCTGCGCTGTGGTTGTCCGCTGTCTGGTGTGACAGCCGCACTGCGTACATCTACACACAAAGACCATGGCGCAGGTGGGAAGGTTCTGGCAGCTGCGCGGCAACTGCTATCCGTGTATGAGCCTCGCACACTGCCCATAAGGGCACGGACACGCGTCAACGGCGTTTCGTCGGGTGGGCAGTGCCCACCCACCATGTGCTGCCAAGTGGATGCAGACTCGTTGTGTTGATTAGTAGCAGAACTGTGTATGGACCATACACAACTTTGCTACTAATCCACACAACGAGTCTGCATCCACCTGCAAGCACATGGTCTTAGAAGAATGCTCACAATATGCTATCACCATGTCCACTTGCTCCAACATATAACAAGTGAGCACCTCCACACCACAAACTCAATATGCTCCTATGTCTCATCAACATCAAGTAGCAAGCGATACTGCATGGTCAAAACAACTGCAGAATAAACCTCATGATAATATACTTCCTAACCGTGTTTGACTAGATACAATGCATAGAAAATGGCAGGATAACAATAGGCATAGTTGCCTGCAACACCGTTTCTCAAAGTATACATGGCCAGGCTATGAACACATCCTCTAAACTATCCATCAAAAATAGAGTACACAAGCTATAGGCACCACCTCTCAATCAACTTTGATGCCTCTCTGACTGAATCAACAGAGTCAAGATAGCAAATGTACCAAAAATCCCGGTATATATGTGACGTGGTTACTTGGGGTTAGGCAGTTATTGGTATTTTCTGGAGCGGTAATTATATAATTGGGTAAATATACCTTTTGGTAGTGTTATTTAAAGCTTCTTGGTTCCAATGAGCTTTTAAACGCTCAATTCCGTTAAGAAACGGCAAAGATATGGCTCTCTTAAATCGTAGTACTTAGGGGCAGGGAGTCGGGTGTTAGATGCTTGGAATTAGAGGACAATGAGTCGATCGTAGGTGAATGGTGGACGGTGAGAATGTGCCTGGACACGCACTTGTCTTGTCTTATCTTGATGTGACTACGATGGACCTGCGATCAGGCATCGCGCATGCAATATGTGCGCGCGCATGCAGTGAATCCATATAACCGTTCTGGCCCACTCTCTGACCTCCCGCGAGCTATGAACCACCACACTGCTGCGCCGCCACCTCTCGCTGACAGCAGAGCCCGGGGATTGATTCCCATCGAGTATTGGGCCCACCGCGTGACCACAAGAGCGACTGCCCCGGATACGCCCACCGTCCAAGGTGGAGAGGGCCGGCTGACCTCCAACGGCTGAGCTGTTGGGCAGGGCGACCCCAACGCCTCCGGAAACCAGCGGCTGCCGATGGGGCCGCAACAATATATAATATATATTATATATTATCCCAAAATAATCCTCTATCAATTGTGCACCACTGGGCAACAAAGAATAGACAACAAAGGCAATGGACTAATAGCAAACCGATGTAGACATATCGGCATAGTCAGAGGTTCCAGGAACCTCCCAATCCTAGTCACTCGACCAAGACATAGTCCTTATCTCATTCAAAGTGACCCTTTTTTCTACCAGTTGGCTAGACTGATCAGATGGTATTCAACTAGTGATTTCCCACAGTCTTACCCATATACTTTGAACAAGGACGAATCCCTGACCTTTTGAGGGCAGTGTCCGCGAGTCCTCAACTGGTCTAGTCCCAACTTCACAGCTAACTGAAACCGTTTATCCCTTGCCTGGGATAGGGCCACTTGGGAACGGCCTCTAATAGCATCACCTACCAGGGCACCTTAGGGTTGATACCACACATGAAGTGGGCACATGTACAACCCAGGTAACTCAGGGGAATTTGGGACCTAGTCCCTCCTCCCTGGCCACCTGTTCTCAAAGGTGGGATCTGGTCAATGTCCTATCTATTCCAGTCTACTTGCACCCCCCCCACGCACATTGTAGAGCCCCCGCCAACTTCAACCAAGTCTGCCATGACTAGGCAGGTTCCTAGCGGGGTTAGCATTCTACGATCACACTAACTGGGAAGTTGTCCCAGTCTTCCCTCTACACTGGCATACTATGGCACCCTAATGTGGGGAGAGACCCCCTAAGTCACCCCAACCGCAGTTTGGGTCTGGTGCACTAGCACCATATGGACCCAGAACCTGGTGTACTAACACCCTAATGGCCCTTGGAGCCACACCAGGACTCCTTGTCTAGGGAGTCTGGTGTACTGGCACCCTACTAACCCACTGAATATTGTATACTGAAAAAAGTTAGTGGGAAAAAAATTTTCACGCATTTTGTGGTCGAGCCAGTCCGCGAAAATATTTCTCCACGAACTTTTTGGTCCCGCGAACTTTTTTCGCCCGCGAGCTTTTTGGCACCCCTCAAAGGGGGGGTCGGGCGCTGGGCGTGCGGGCTCCTAGCGGACGTCGATTCCCACCACCCACAGAAACCGTTCCAGGCTACAATGGGCGGGGGGAATGGGTGGCCGGGAGGTGCGAATGCTGCGGCGCATTTTGCCTGTGAGGGGAGCCGTTTGGGGACTTGTACAATATGGGAACATCATTGTATAATAGCATGGGTAGTCATTGTACTATTAGTTTCTGAGCCGCGCCAAACGGGCACGGGTTGTATAATAGATATTTAATATAGACAGAACGGGGTGTGAGATGCACACCAAGCCGGGCACCGTTCAGGGTCAAGGCGCGTGGGACAGACCCATGGGGTGCGCCGCAAAGATTGGGCGAGAATGACGCTGGGGTTAGTCAGGGTGACTCGCGGGACAAAATGTGGTTCACGGGAGGGGTTTGAATTTGAACCTCTGAACATTACAAATTTGCCAATCTGGCATGCGCCGATTGGGCTGCCTAAACCCCGCCCTTGGACGGCTATTTAAAGCTATCCAAGGTGAATATTGTAATCCAAATTCGCTGCGGTTCTGTGCCTTTGTCTCCACGCTCAAACCTGAGCTACGGCCCGACCAAAATCGCCGAGCAATCTGCCTCCGGCAGTTTTGCCCCTTACAACTGGTTTCGGAGCCAGCTGGAGCTGACAAGGAGTGGAAGGCGCTCCAGGTTGACCTGACCCACGGCCAGAGGCGGCAAGGCCCCAAGGACA